AAACATCTGCAGTTCAAAGTACATAATTCACAGTGACACCAAAGGTTGGTTTGTGTTTTGACTGGAAGACTTTAGTATTATTTTTGTCTGCAGAGGAAAGAGTTATGTAGCATCCAAGTGGCGCAAGATGTTTGCCTCTCCAGAAATTGCAATGAATTTGGGACAAGGGGCAGACTTTTCCAAAAAAAAAAAAAAAAAGCAGGAGAGAGAAATTGAGAACACATTCCATTAGGCATCTTTGAGTTGGGAGCTACTCTAAGGTGCACATCATAAGAAGAAAATCAGCTGAATTGTTTGTCTGCTTCATGTACTTAATGTTGTTACTGTATTTACGTTTCTATAGGTGATGACTGAAAAAATAACAGGTGAAAAGGTAGCCATGTTTTTTAATCTCATTTTCCTGTGTTTGTAATACAGAATAATCATTCATACTTCAGTTGTTTGTTGCAGTTAATATGTGATAACTGTTAGAAGTGTATCTCATATCTATCACTTACAAAAGTATCCTGCTTTGTGCTAGGTTCTTGGTATCTCATGATCTTGTCTTTTAATGGTCCTTGTATATTTTCATCAGAATGTGTTTTGTGATTTGTTTTGCTGAAAAGCATTTTGTGAAACTGCATAAAGGAAAAAATGCATTTTGGAAAATATTTCATTATCTTCCATTCAGATGAACCATAATTTGGAGGAGAGAAACCCTTTTCCGAGTTTATTTAGTAGGAACTAGGTTATTTTATTTTTCCTTACTTCACTAACCGAGATCCCAGTTCAGCAAGGTCTTCATGAATAAAAGTCTACAGAATATAATGGATTACTCACTGCTTAAAGTAAAAGCTCTGATACACAATCAAGTAATTATCCACCACCTGACCCACAGTAAGTGACTTACATTCACTTTTGATTTTTGTCTGACTTGAATAAAAATATATTGGCTTTAAATTCAATGAGAGCGTTAAGCTTTCGAAAGCTGTCTTGCCTTTGTGAGGGGCTGTGGATATATACAGGATCTACTACTACAAGAGACTGACTGAATTGGATCAAGTCAGACCAAAGGTCCACCTGCCTCCTCACTCTAACCCCACTCACAGAGAATAGTCCAGACTTCAGGAAAGAGCACTAGGATAGGGAAAGCGTGTAGCAGTGCTTCCATGTATATACCCTCCCTTTTTTTTAATGGTCTCATCAGTGGAGTCTTGTGTATTCATACACATTCTAATTTAAAGGTTATTCACGTTGTGGGTTTTGATAAGGACTACAGGATCTGTTCCACCTATGAATGAATACATTTTCATAAAATATTATCTTTTATATGTTTTAATTGGATTAGACATACCAAGATAACATTAACAACAGAATGTAATTCAGAATTAAGGAAAGAAGACAGTGCAGAATTTGGCTTCATTTTAGTCCTGGTACGTTTGTTTCATTAAACTTTGACCCTGAAATCTGTATTAACAAAGACAAATCAATTCGTATTTTTTCTATCATATGAATGACGTAATGTGTTGACTTCTTTTTTTTTTTTCTGGAGAGGTTAGTTTTAATTCCTATTAATGACAGTCTATGGAAAACCTTGCACTTTTATATAGTAATATTAAAATCAAATATAGATATAACAGGATTATATAGCCATGAAAACTGCATTTGTAGTAAGTACGCATTACAGTTCTCTGTTACATTCTGCTTGTTCTGCATTCAGCCAGCCATTCTGTTGCTTCCTCAGCCAATGAGTATTACAGTACTCTGGATTTCTCTAGGTCAAATTTTCACTGAAATAAAAAAAAAATATAGTAGTCTACTCAACATTACCATGTAGCTCTATGAAATGAGATCCAGGAACGCAAAACATTTATGTCTGTTTCAAAGCATGTGAGCAATCTCATTGACCTCGGCCACTCAGAGTTAAATATGCTGCTGCATGAGACCTTGTCTTCACATTGGGTATTACCTTCATATAAACATTAAACTGGATCATTACCAAATGGTTGTTGGTTTTTTTCCCCCCTCTACTCAATGTTAACACTTTACTGTATTCCTTCTTTTTCTCTAATGTTATTTCTCCAATTACTTTCACATTTTTCTCTTGTGTAAAGCCTTTACTGAAACCTTTTGCTTTTAGAACGCATTACTGAAGAATCATCTTAAATAACGATCAAAAAGTAACTAAGCAGTCTGTGCAGACATGCCAGGCACCATAGCACCATATTAACATGTTGTAGGTACAAGTTGAGGAAGAAAATGCTGATAAGCTGGGAGCATGTTAAAAATGATTTGTTTATACAAGTGCTAAAGTTATGTTTGATATGTTAATACAACCTCATTTTCTAGTGAAGGCCAAACACTATTAAGTGGTTATCTGCATTGATTTTTCTATCTTCTAAAATACTCAATTCATTCTAAACCATCTTTACTGCTTTCATGTACCTGAAGCTAGGACCGTCTTTTAACAACCTCTTCCTGGGTAAGCCTCAAGGACTTCACTCCATGCTATTCTCCTGGTTCGTTTCTTGATCTTTTAACCAGTGTCTCCCCTTCAGCAGGCCCTCCTTTTTATAATTTCTGTGGCATTCTCAAGCCTTCCACCTGCGTTGTCACTGAAAGTCATCAGCAGCTATCGTGGGCTGAACTGGTGCCTCTCACTAATATCATCATTCTGCTGAATCATATTAGCTAATGTTACAAAACAATCTTAGGGCTCACTAACAGCCTAATGGTTTAAAGTAGAAGGTGTACTTGCTGTCTTCCCCTCCTTTTCTTTCTGAGTGTCTTACTATCTTTTGGATCTGTTATCTGCTTTGCTTTTTGTTTTGTGCCTTAGCTGCTTGTGGTATATCCTGTGCAGGGTACGGGAGTAGTTGTTTGGAAAGACTGGTGCTTTTAGAATAGTACAGTTGGGTTGCACCGTGGAAATATGGCATAAGAGAAAACTGAGTGCCAGTAGTTGGGGACGGATGATGTTCTAATGAAAGTTGTACAAATGGGCACTGATGATTACTCGAAGAACACTTGGAGCAGGCTTAAAGAGATTCACTGTCTGACAAGTAAGTTATAACATGAACGAGCCTAACTTAGGTGGGGAATTTTTAGAAGGAAAATATATATTCGGATAGGAGAACAAACGTTAAGGTTTAACAGAAAAGACGGGATATCTTTGGGTTTTTTCCCCCCCTTTAATACTGCTTCTCTGGCTGCAGAACTCTGAGTGCACACAGTAGTCTATGTGATGAAGCTGATCCTTGCTGGTTCGTTTGTGTGAAGCCTTTATAAAATTACATGCCATTTCTGAGGCTTTAATATCCTTGTCTTAGCTAAGTCTTCAGGGCTGTGGTCAAGGTGTATGCTCCTTGACATTTGTCCACACTGCTCTCATATTCTTTGATCTACTCAAAGTGTCTAAAGTGAAGAAACAATTTTTTAAATTAGCATCCCATCTTTCAAGAATGTTAAGTTCATGGAAAGTTCCATCTAAGTGCACAATTATGCCTCAGAACACTTAGGCAATCTGTATTGCTGTAAAAATACTTTAATTTGCCTCTGAGTGTAGGAGGATTATATTTGAATGTTTCCCAAATATGAATTTTCACAAGTGTGGGATAAAAGGATTTAGATATTTATAATATTTAAAATGAAATACTTCCTTTAGCTCTCAACTTTCTTTAAAGGATCCATCTGATGTGTCCGTTTTGTCAATGCTGAATTGGATGATGTCTTCTCTTTGCTGTGCTCCAAGAAGTATTTTTATATATGTTTTCAAAAGGAAATCCAGTTTCTTACTTGAGGCTGCTGGCCTCTTGGAGCCCTGGAGGGAACCAATAAAAACACATGTTCTTTTAAAGAACATCTATTTTTACTGGACCTTGCTAAAAACCAATGACACAGAATTTAAAAAATGTTGGCTGAGATGAATAGAAGGACTGCATTGTTTAAAACTCTGTTTTTAAAACTCTTTTCTATGTAGCAGGATTGCATAGAAATTTTTTGACAGCTACCATTTATTTCATTGTCCTGTCTTCACAGGAGTAAAATGGAGAGCGGAATAAGATTTTACCCGTGCTCTTCATTGTGCAACCTGCCCTCTATTTCAGTATTTCTTCTGTATTGTCCTGTTTTTTCCCATGTTCTTTTCCTTCCGTCTAATAGTTTTTCCTCATAGGTCTTCCTGGTACCTTCATGTTTTTTCTTATTTTGTTTTGATGCAGTAAAACTTTCTTGTTGGTAAGACAATAATTGTCTACTGACAACTAATTTAATTCTTTTAAACCAAGGTAACTGGGCACAGCCTCTTATTATTACTATAAAAACTGGTGAAATATGATTTAGCTGACAATTTGGAGATCCCCATTCTTTAGAATATCTGTTCAGCTGAAAGGAGTAACTATATAAGTGTGCATGCACGCAGTAGCAAATGTTAAATTTTTCATTCTCTGTCATTAAGTTAAATATTTAAATCAAAACAATCTTAAAACTTCTTTTCTTCCAAGATGTGGTGTGTGCTTTGGAATTAGAGTGATCTCAGTATGAAAAATATAAGTATAAAATGTACATATATTTTTTTCTAATAAAGTGGTGTGTTCTGAATTTGGGAGGAGGTTCTTTAGTTTGCTTGCTTTTTTAAAAGCATACATGCATTTCCTTTCTATCCACTTACTTAATAAATAAAATCGAAAATCTGGCATTACGCTGGCATAATAGGAGAGCTATTTAATCCCAATATCTTTTTAATTTTTAATACTTCTTAAAATGTTTTACAATATGTCTTTATCTGATTCTGAACTTGGGGTTTTTTTGGCATACAATTGGATCAGGAAAAAGCCGCATAGTAATGCACATTTTAAAATGTCGCTCTAATAGTGGTTTAGCTCTTGGATTGTAACTTGCTTTTGTCTGATGCCTTCTCTACTGCAGAAATAGCGATGGGGTTATTTACGTTAATTCATTTGGCTTGTTGAAAAAAATATGCCCACGCTCCTCTACTTAATGGGATTCTTTCCTCGTTGCAGTGCAAACGGCTGGAGCAGGAGCTTCATCATCTGAAAGAGCAGAACCAGACTTCAGCAAACAATACGAGACATCTGACTGCTGAAAACAATCAAGAACGTGCTCTGAAGGTAAATCTCCATTCCTTCTTGCAGGCAAATTAAGGTTGTAAGCCCCTGGTGCCAGCTTTCTGGGCTGCATATATCAGTTGTGTACATTTCGGCAGAAGTGAGCTATGGTGTTTGCCAACAACCGCTTCTTTAAACACAGATACAGCACCCTTCTGTTATGGTATTATTTTATTTTGTGTATGAAAAAAAAAAGAAAAAATGTATCATCCGTATTTTTGGGCTGTGTTATAGTAATTAACACTAAATTCTTGGAGCCTGTCCTTGCAATATTGCATTTCATAATGTGAAGAAAACAGCTACTATTTGCTTCACGGTACCTTTGCAAAACTAATATTTTAAAGTGTGGCTATTTGATTTGCTGCTAGCAGTGTATGCTATATTAATAACATTGTTGACCTATACTACTAGTGACCACATAGTTGATACTACTATTTGCAAAAGGTAGCTAGTTGGAATTGGGAAGAGGAATAATAAGTCTTGTCAATAAGAATAAAAACGAGCAGAGAGGAGGGAGAGGGTCAGAGAAAGGACAGTGTAAAGTGACAGGTTATTCCTGCTTTGGTCTGAGAAAGTGGTATTTTAACATCAGTGGGATTGATAGCTACATAACTAGGAACTCCGTCACTAGCCAGAGTAAGAGAAAAGTAAGAAGAGTAAGATATGTAAGCATCGTGCATGCCTATTCAAGCACTATATTTTTAAAAATCTCTTTTATGAGTAGTGGAGAGACAATATAAATTCCGGAGAAGCTACTCTGTTGATAAGAATGTTGTCATTTTAAAACTGTGTTTGATTTAGGCACCAAGATCCAAATGAATCTCATTTATAGGCAGATTTTCCTCTGCCTCCTTTTTTATATTCTGGGAAAACATCATTATTAGTGCAATGACTTGATCAATGCAAGTCAGAAAAAAAGTGTAATAAATAAACTGAAAGAAGCTGCATGCCACACACACGTGTATTCCATGGGCTTAAAACTGCTATTAAAATCTTTGCTGAGTATTACAAAATCAGATGTGCAATATTGAAAGAAATCCATCCTCAGGTGATTGGAAATAGAGATCATAAACATTCAGGGCTATTTCTGACCACAGTAATAGAATTTTCTTGAATCTGGCATCACTAAAAGTTAGTGGTTGCCAGGCATGGCAAAACTATTTTAAATAGCATGTATTTTTTTTTTAAATAAATTTCATGCTGACTTGTGTTTTCTGTATGATTGAAAATGTTATGCACAGAGTCTTTCTGTTGGAAAACAGCAATGTTTTATCGAAATTAGGCTTTTTACATTTAATATTGTCTAACATAATGCTATCAGAGCAAGAAGTGACTTAATAGTTTAGAGTGTTACTAGGATTTCATTCTAAACTTGATATTACTCTCCTAGCACCTATTCTTTAATAAACTAATTTCTGGCTAGCTTGTCACAGGCATTTTTGATTTTTCAAAGTTAGAGATTAATTGGTAATGGTCTCTTAGAGATGAGAGTCTGGGGAGGAAGAAAAGAATGTTTTTCAATTTTTGGTATTCATACTTTAATATTATACCCCCTAGGGTTTGTCTCAATTCATATTACTGTTGTCCTCAGTGAGGTCAGATCCCTCTGAGTACCTTTTAAAAGTTGATTAAGTTGAATCCTTGACCATGAAAATAGGAAAATACTCATCTGAAATATTGACAATAGTAATTAGCGTTCACATATAGCATATGAGCGCTCATCCTGACCAGTTCATTTAAAGCATTCATTTAAATGAAAAGCTTGTCCTCCCCCTTTTGTTGTATACCCTAGAAAATACAGACTGCCTAGCAGAGATTAAAGTCATGTCAGTGATTTCTTAGGAGTCAGTATAATCAGCACCCTGTTAGGCCTGGCTCTCCTGTGGGCCAGTTTGCTACTGGTGCTGTTAGCAGCAGAGCACACTGTAAGAGAATTTTCACGTCTTATTGACAGGTAATTCACTATGATATCTTGGCACATACCGCTTCTGTAAAATCCTTTTATTCTTAGCTACCTCATTCTACCTCTTATGCGCTCTTAGTAGCTATCATAAATCTTTGCTACACATGGAGTGCATGTACAGACCTAAGAATCCACTTCTCTGTCAGCTACAGATCATCCTCTAGGTCACCTGATCATTTTCAGGGAAATATGACAGGCCATTTGTGTCTCTAGTGCAGAGTAAAATATCAAAATATGTTTGTTTTCACTGTGATCCAGAGAACTGCATTTATTTAATCACCTCTGCATGCAAACTGGAAGCTGTACTATATACTATTAATTCAGATGTAAACACCTGTCTTGGAGGGGCAATCCATATAGCATTCTTTGTCCGTTTAGGACAGATTATATTAAGAAAGTTTTTTTGTTTTTGCTTTTTTTCAAACAACCACCAAAAAAAACTTTCTTGTTTTCCCTGGTCTCTTAAGCTTAATTGGTGATGTCCAAACCAATCTTTGGTGAAAGAAGTATTGTGGTACAGTATTGTGATAAAGATGACAAATGAGAAATTTGATGCTATAGATTTACTTAAAAGACTAATGGAAGGGTAAACACTGGATGTGGTGTGAGGATACTTACAATCTTAACTGAATTAAAAAAAAAAAGTAATCAGAATCAGATAGATTAAGGGTGGCATAAAAGTTTGTGATAAAAGCTGAGATCATTTCCTCTTGGGGGTCCTGAAATACACTTAAAGAATAACCTGCTGAGTTTCATTGTTCTTACTTTATAAAATCATCTTTCTTACAGTAGTGAGCTGCTCAGAAAGAATAAAAATTGTAAGACCAATATGCATAAGAAACCTGTTTCACTCTACCTATGATACGGTCTAACAGTTAAGATAAGCTGCAAGCTTTCAGTGTTATTTTGAGCTATATTAACTCACAGGGCTGCGGCCACCCTTGTTTGAGACATTAGCAATCTGTAGATTCCTGCCTGAGGGAAAGCAAGTAGAGAAAGAGACAGCTTTTAGCTGTGGGAGAGTTGCCCTGAGAGGAAGGGACTGTATCACGTGGGAGAGACTGTAACTGCTTTACACAACTCTTTGTAGGGTATTGATTATTTGCAGCTGATTAACTCTTTCAGTTGAAGAAGAAAGGAGAAAAAAATGTAGAATAATGCTTATAAAAAAATAATTGCGACTAAACACTCAATCAAGACCTGTTCCTGCAGATACACATGGTTGAGGGACTCTTCACGGGAATGATATCATCGGTGCATTTCTGAGAGTGGTGTTACCCATATGGGTAGCTACTATTTTCCCTGCAGTGCCTTTTACAAACATTTGATAAAATTCAAATAAATAGTGGTTAATAATAGTAGTTTAGAGAATGGTACCTAGGGCATCCAAGCAAAGGTCTTTGAGGATGGCAGTATCATTGCCAAGATAACATGGTGGAGAGTTAAGAAAGAGCAGGTAACAGATTAATAAGCTTTCTCTTTCTTACAGTGATTAAGAAAACTTTTCAGGTTACCTGCAAATTACAAAGTGAAGGAGCTCTAGAAAGAGGAAAGCAACGAATTGCAGAGTACTCTGATGCTTTCAGAAATCTCTAACCCACGTAACAATTTCTCTTTTATTTGCTATTGAATGCTTTGTGCTGTGGAATGGCTGCCTTTATGATATTAGGGGATAGGGCAGTTACACAAGTAATCTTAACTCCTGCAATGATTTTTAGAAGTGTAAGCTCTTCATAGGATTCTATTAGGACATTAGACTAGGAGGGAGATTGCCTTAGTGCTGGCAGTAAACTGGCCAGATCCAGGTTCTAGGAATCGCAAAGATGATGTAAGCACTCTTGCATGCTTTTATTTTTTACATATTTTTTAGTACCTGTGTCACACCTGAAGATCATGTGTCAGTAAAATATATGATATACAAGGCATGCTGTATGCACATATACTATGCAATTTCATCTTACTGTACAATATAGCATCTGCATGTGTTTGGTAAGATAGCTGTTCTTTACTAATCTCTACCATGCATATTAGTACTATAGGATTTAAAATTCACATATTTAATGAATTTATTGAATAGAGCATTCCATGCAGTGATGGTGATTCAGTCCCACAATGCCAAACTGGTGCTCCTATTTTTTAATATTCTTATTGTCATAGGGGATTACATTAATTGAACGAAAAGGTTAATTTCAAATCTTCCTCCCCAAGTAATGCCCAAGACTATACAGAGGTCATCATGTGAAGAATGCGGGCCTCTATTTCCATACTTAAAGTAAAAATAATCCCCTTCTGTCTGAAACCATTTTAAAAAATCTCTTATAATATTTCAGATTGAATTATATCTAAATCTTTTAGGGATAATTGCTTCCTAAGGGCCTATACATTTGCGCTCTTAGTACATTTTCATAAAATAAGATCTAGAGAGTGCTTTGCAGTTCTAATGTGTCAGGGTCTATATGTAAGATTATTCATTTGTATTTGGCCTTCATAATTAACATTTGGTCTCTACTGATTCTGAATAAATGTATTCCCACATTTTACTGAAATAACTGATTCAATTAAGCATAGAAAAGTTTAAGAATTGCTGTTTTTCATCAGTATTCAAATATCATTGTGGATCATTTTGTTGCTGTTGGCTTTGTAGTGTGTAGTTTTGGAATACAGAGTTTTAAGTAATACATTTTCATAAAGAGGAGTAAAGGTTTTGCCAGTGTGAGTGTCCTTCCTCTTTACTGTGTTGAAAAAAACTAGGAATAAATCCTGTGAAACCAATAATTTAATGTGAAAATTAATGGAAATTGTTTAACTGGGTTTGAATGCAACATACAGAGATGTGATCTTTTTTCCCCCACAGGCCTATGATTTATTTTTTAATTTTGAATTAGGCAGTACATTCTTTTTAAAGCAACTATTAATCTGCCTTAACCACCAAAGAGACATACTAATTTACTTTCAAGCCAAACTATTAAAATGGAAGAGAGGCTGTTTCATGATGATACACAAATCAGGTGCCCTTTAATGGCTTAATGAGTTTACTCCA